GAAAGCTCCAGACACACCATGCCTTGAACTCTCTGGATCTCAGGGCCTTTGCACACACAGTTATTCTCTCCCCTCCCTTGCAGAGTCAGTTCCCACTTTCTCATCCAAATTGTCAGTGAGTCTTCCCCCAAGATGCCCTTCTTTCTCTGGTCTGTGCCTGTGTTCTCACGGTTACACGGGGCATCAGCATAGACATTGCTCAGTGAATGCTTTGGGGCTGTTTGACCATGAGTTCACTTTGCAGATGCTGAGAATTCTCTCTCCTCAAGGTTCAAGAGAGACCCCTGACTGGGCTCCTCCACAGGAAGTGATGGGCAGTCAGTTAGATCACTTACTTTTTTTGTTGTTTTGTTTTGGGGTTGGGTTTTTTTGTTTGGTTGGTTTTGGTTTTTTTCCACCCCCCGAGACAGAGTTTCTCTGTAGCTTTGGAGCCTGTCCTAGAACTAGCTCTTGTAGACCAGGATGACCTCGAACTCACACAGAGATCCACCTGCCTCTGCCTCCCGAGTGCTGGGATTAAAGGTGTACACCATCGTGACCTGGCTGTTTGGGGGTTTTTTAAGACAAGGTTTCTCTCTAGCTTTGGAGCCTGTCCTGGCACTAGCTCTCTAGACCAAGCTGACCTTGAACTCACAGAGATCCGTTGCCTCTGCCTCTAGGATTAAAAGTGTGCACCACCACTGCCCAGCTAGAAGGCTAGACCACTTACTTTTTTTTTTCTTGTTTCTTTTGAGATAGAGTTGCTGGCCTTGCTTTGCACTCACTCTTGAGGATGGCCTTTAGATCCAGGTCCTCTTGGCTCTTCCTTTTGACTGCTTTGCTTATAGACATGCACCACCACATCTGGGAATCGAACCCAGGGCTCAGTACATGCTAGGCCAGCACTCTACCAATTGAACTGCATTTCTACTCTGGCTACTTGAGAAAGCTGCAAGAGCAGTTGTTAAGAGCAATGTAGTTGGAACTTGCCTGTGCGGTTACATCCATGCAGATGTCTCTGTGCCTCCTCCAGCCTCCAGTCACCCTACACACTTTGTTGCCTGATCTTGAAATTCAAAATGTCCTCCACGTGTCCTAAGAAAACAGCCTCTTACAACTCTCCACCTTCTTGCTCCCCTGGCACCTCCTCTGCTTCTGCAAGATGCCAGGAGTTTGAATTGCCCACATGCCCCAGCCATGGTACCTGGTATGGTGGGAGATGCATTCAATTGTGCTGTGAATAGCCAATGAACCCCAAGCTGTATGGTGCTGCTCAACCTTCTGGTGTGTGAAAGGACATGGCAGCTTCTCTGCGGGTCAGCAACTGGAAGGAGACACCGTGAGTCAAATCCTCTCCATGTCTGGGTCCCCGGTCACTGTGTTAAAGAGAGAATGAAGGCATGTAGGCAAACAGAAGAGAGTTTGAAGACCTGCTTGCCTCTAGAGTCTTGGTGTTCTGGTAGCACAGGGAGGCCCTCGGTGGGAGTTGAAGAGGGAGCCTGCAGATGCTCTGTTATACCTGAGTCCCCATTAGAGACTCCAGGATGAAACTGGGAGGGCCTGTTGACAGAACCCAGAAAGGGTTAGGTTGTAAAGCTAGACCACTCCCACCCCAGTCTCATTCCCTCCCCCAGGGTACTGCCCCAACTTCCAGTGTTCTCCCTGCCTCAGTCTCTCCCCAGTCCAGCAGGCAGAGAAGCTTCCCACAGGCCTCAGGGTAGTACTGTCCACGGATGAATAACCTAGGGCCTTCCCCATCATCCTACTGTCTACTCTGAGCCGCCATCTGCCAGACTCCCATCTCTACTGTGGCCTCCCTAGGATTTAGCCAACCATTGACAGAGAGGGTGCATGTCCTGTCACAGAATCTCTCTAGAAATATCCTAACCACAGATGAAGGTACTAAGAGCCAAAGTAGTGAAATGCCTTACTCAAGGTCCTCAAGATATAAGGAAGTGTGCTCTTATATCTACCCCGGACCTTCCTACTCTGTGGACAGGGACTAACAGAATGGGGTAGGCCCCTGATGGATACGTTAGCCCCTTCAGAGTGCCTGTGATGAACTTCTATGTGAATCTCAGGACAAGAGGACCCTATATTCACAAAATGTATGGCCCACAGCACAGACAGAAGCTGCTGCATGAGCTATGGTGTTAGCCAGGATACCACCTGCTTTTCCTGGCTCTGCCTTGCTCTGACCTAGGTTCTACTTTCTCATTCTCTGGGTATCTCCTCAACAGTCCTAGGGGACTCATGTCTCCTGTGCCATTCCTCAGAATGGCCTTATTTGGCCTCTGAGCCTGAGCCTGTGCTGGGATCTCCTTCATTTACATGTCTGCCCTTCTTTGTCCCAATCTTTCCCCTGGTCTCTCACTGTCACTTTGACCCCACCTATTCAGGGTGCTGTTCCTTCTGTGCCTGCTGCCCCTGTGTGTGCCTCTTTCCCTCCTGCTCTGCAGCTCCATTTCTGCCTCTGTGTATCTCTATCATTGTCTTTCTGTTCTAGTATCCTTGCTGGTTACCCTTCCCCCTTTCCATTCTGGATATTGAGAGAGGAACTCCTCCCACATATGACTACAGGATCCCCATCTCTGGCCCAACAGCAGACCTGGCTTCTAAACCTGTTTCTGTAGCAGGGCGGGGAGGGGGGTGGGGGACCCCAGGGCACCTTTCCCAGGCCCTCTCCATCTGGGTGGCAGCACTGACAGACAAGATAGGAATCAGGCTCGGCTCTGCCTGGGCCTGAGCAAGGGGCACAGCAGGGCTATGTAGGGTGTCTGGGCTGCTCACCTTCACGTGCGTGCATGTCTGTGGCTGGTGCAGATCTCCCTGTGTGGGGTGGTCTGGTGTCTGGCTGAGTCTACATGGGAACGTCTGGGTCTGTTTATGTCTGTCTGCAGGCATTTGGTCTGAGTCTTCACGAGGTGCTGTCTGGGTAGAAACACCTTAGCTGGTGGATTGTACTTCTAGGGTCCTCTGAGAATGTACCTGTATATGTATCCCTGGGGGTGATTGGAGTCACTGTGTCTGTGTGGACACCCATTGGCCAGGCCCTCCGCTGGCATCCTCTACCTGATAGAGAATGCATAGGTAAAAAGTTATACCCCTTGCCACTCTCTGTTCTTGCTTGCATGTGTAGCCACGAATGTGTGTTTACTTAAGTCTGAAGCTGCAGGATCCCAAGCAACTAATCTTGCTGAGTCTCCTTTGCTTATCAAAATCAAATAAAACTAGTTAAAGGGCTGGAGATATGGCAAAGATACACATGCAGGCAAAATGCCCATACATATACTATCAACAAATAAATATATATTTTTTAACAATTAAAAACTAATCTCGTGTGAGAAGTGGGAACGGGTGCTATCAGGAAGGAGTGGTTGGGGAGGGACCGACAGAGACTGGGGAATGATAATGTCCCATGTTTTGGCTTGGGTGGAAGCAACATGGGTGTGTTCACATGTAAAAAACATTAATCAACCTGTTTTGTTCAGGTGTATGCATGTTCTATTTCTAGAAGCTTCCCTAAACTTTACCAGATTGCTACTTGCTAGGTATTAAATAAAGGTACCAATAGTGATGTGTGTGCCTTTGATTTTGTTTGTTTGGTTTGGTTTTTTGAGACAGGATTTCATGCCTTTGGATGACCAAAGGAGGAAAGAGAGAGGAACGAGCCCTGGAGAAGCTCATCTGCTCCACGGCAGTGCCTGGATGCATGTATGCATTCCTGCTGCACCTGGCATCCAACACAAAGTCACATCTTCCTCTGCTGCCGTCCAGCCGCCATCCACCAGTCATACTCTGCATTTTACAGCAGAAGACACTGAACCCCAAAGACACAGAATAGCTTTCTTTAGCTTACATGGCTCAGTGGTCTAGATCCTAGGCTTGTTTGACCTCACTCCAATCCTCCATCCTTTTGGGTGTCCCTTCACTGGATCATTGTTTCCCTAAAACTTTAGTAGAAAAACTAAATTTGCTTACTTTTGTAAAGATTTTTTTTTGTGGGAATTTTTGCTTTATTTTGTTCTTTTGAGATAGAGTTTCTCTGTGTAGCTCTGGCTGTCCTGGAACTCACTCTGTAGACCAGGCTGACCCCAAACTCAGAGGTCTACCTGCCTATGCCTCCCGAATGAAGATACTACCTTTTAAATTTTATCAGATTGAATCATTTTATTTTGTTTTGCACGCATCTATGTCTGAAGCACATGTGTGCCTGGTGTTGATTGAGGTCAGAAGAGGGCACGAATGATTGTGAGCCACCATGTGGTACTTGGAATCAAATCCAGGTCTTCTGCAAGAGCAACAAATACTCCAAGCCACTGATACATCTCTTTAGCCACTTTACTATTTTTAAATTACACGTATGTGTGTGAGAGTATAAATATGTATGTATGAGGGCAGGTTCCTAGGGAGGCCAGAAGCACTGGATTGCCTGGAATTGGAACTGGAGTCACAGGAAGTTGCCTGGTGTGGATGCTGAGCACCAAATGCTGGTCCTCTACAAGAGCAATAAGTGCTCTTAACCACTGAGATAATTCTCCAGTCCTATCTCTTGGGGGAAATTTAAAAAAAAAACTCTGTGAGAAGAGAGAGAGAGAATAGGAACATTGGGGCTTAGGTTGCTCTTGCGTGGCACAACATTGACTTCTCCCAGGGAAAAGCTGCACATTTTCCAAAGGTCTCTCCCAGCACTGAGTAACATTCTCATCCATGCTAGGGGCAGAAGAGGCATGTGTGAGGGCCTCTGACCTCCAGGACCTACAGATAGAATAAACAGATGAATGAATGCATGTTAAGACACACACACACACACACACTAGTGTATCACAGATTTAGTATGATGGCTTCTCTCTCTCTGCTGTCAATTCTTTAAGTGCAAGATTTGGATGTTTTTGGAGTAACCAGCACACACCTTGACACAGAGAAAAGACCCCGAGAACATTTGATAGGTAGGTGGACACCCTAACACTAGTCACTGGGCCTCAGAAAAGCTCTTCTCATTGATGAAACAGCACCAAGTCTTTTCCATAAGTGATTTTATTACTGGTTAGATTTTACAAATTCTGATATCTGAACAGACTTCCACCTTAAAATTCTAAAACAAGAAAGCGACCGTTGGAGGGGGAGGGGAGTTAATTTTTTTTTCTTTTTCTTTTTAGGGCTATTCAAAGTAACAAATGTTTTTGTTTTTTTCTTTTTTACATTTTGCTCTGGTCATAAATATACAGAGAGAAAAAGAGGGAGAGAAAAAAAAAACAAACGAACAATTCATCAAAGTATGAAGATAAAACAGTATTCCTAAGGCACGTGGCAGTCTTTGAAAATACGGAAGCTCTCAGCCAACTTAAATTATTTGTTGCTTCCTTGCTCGGTCCACAAAACTGTACAAGGACACAAATGTTGTGTTGCACATATATCTCCCAAGTAATTCCTCAGCACACACTGATGCGTTAGCCCGAAGCACAAATCCTTTTTTTTTTCTCTCTGTTTCCAGGCGAGATCCTAAAACGTGGTTAGTTAGTTGCTCAAAGCCTCTATTTTTAAAATACACTTGGAATTCAACTAAAGATAATTTCTTTTTTAAAGAAATCGTGGGGGCTTGGGGAGGAGGTGGCGAGTCATTAGAAAAGGTTGGTAAGAGTCGTTTGTGAAGGGCTGTGGGGCTCATGGCCCTCCAGGTTGCCAGGCACAGAAGTTAAGACTGACGTCACAGTCGGCAGGGTGGGGCTAGTCAAGTCTGTGAGGGTGGTAGGAGTGCTGGAGGGGCTGAGCGAGGCATTGGACAGCTCCGAGGCGGGCCCCGACGGCGTCCCTGTCTGCAGCGCGGCATCCGACGTCTTGTCCACGCCCGTGTTTTCCTGCCGTAAAAGGTTGCGTCTGAACTTGGCCCGGGCATTCTGAAACCAGACCTGTGTGGGAAGATAGGGGAGGGCCAGTTAGGGGAAGTCGGGAGGGACTGGGGAAAGCAGCCGCTCTGGGCTGCTCAACCCTGCTCTTGGGTTTTGTGAGACTCAACCGAACTGTGGCCCAGCGGGAGGTCTAGAAAGTCCGTGTCACATTTTCTCCTTGCAAAAATAAAATTAAAATTTATTTTCCCTGGTGGCCATAATTGGGTCGCTCTTCCTGCCAGGAAATTTCTGAGCTGAGCCCCTTGCCATGGTACTGATACTGAAACCTCAAAATGCCACTCAGCAAATGTAGCCAGTGTAGAGAGGACGGCATGCAAAAGACTTAGAGATTTAGCAAGCAAGAAAGAATAAAACAAAGAAAGAAGGGAAAAGATTATTGACTTCATGTTTAGAAATGTTTTAGACACATTGGATTAAACAATAAATACAATAAAATTCATTTTATCAGTTTCTTTGTACTTCTCAGTGTAACCACTAAAACTCTTTAAATACGTGGCTCTTGTCACATCTGTCATTGAAAACGCAAACCAGATAAATTTGGGCCATATAAAATTGAAAGACTGGGGTGGACAGTGTACTTATGAATTCTTATGAGTACATTTCTAAGTCTTCATAAATACTAAAATGGCCTGAAGAATGTGGAAATGAAACAATAAAATAACTAGGAAGAAGGTGGTCAGGACCCTTTGCTCTCAGCGGAAGAAGCTCTAGAGCACAGCAAACACCAGGTTTACTTTCACTTTTTCTGGGCTCTCTCTCTCTCTCTCTCTCTCTCTCTCTCTCTCTCTCTCATACACACACACACACACACACACACACACTCACACACACACCTGTATATATCAGTGAAGATGCACACAAAACTCACCCATATTCCCACCAGCCCTCTGACCACAGCAATGCAGAGATCCTGAGGTAACTGGGGTCCACGCAGTGCTTAAGATGAGGGGCAGGAAATCCAGGCCACTATTGCCGAATAAGGTAGTTATTCCACCCAAAGGAAAAAGGTCCCAAAGGCAAGCGCCTTCACTTCCATCTGCGTAAGAGAACTCCTGGCCCAATGCTTCCCCATAAAACAAAGGGCCTTGGGGGTTCTGAAGGCTCCAGAATGTCCAGTTGCATGGTTCCAGATGTGTCTGCATCTGCCTGTCTTCCTAGTGTCTCTGGCAGTGGTGGGATGAGCCAACTCCTGATTTCGCCCTTAGGACCACCCCAGTTGCAAGAAGCCTGTGGCCTCAAGCCCCCCTCAGACATCCTGACACAATTCAGGCTCAATTAGCAGCCAAGTCTGGCAGGAAGAAGAGAGATGTTCCCCATGGCTCCCTAGAACAAAGTCCTCTCAAGGAGAAAGCACATTTCTCAGCTCTCTGCCTAAAAGAAACTTATCAGTCTTTGGGGGCTAGCAAATGAGTGTGAGGTTTCAAAGACCACCCTCAGCATTGCCCATCTAGTCAGTTCCTGCCCTGTTGGCTCTAGAGTCTGCAGTGGGAGACTGTTCATCTGGTCTGCGGGGAGGGGAGGTCATGGATAGAGACAGACCTAAAACAGACTTCTTCATAGTCACATGAAGATCAAGCAATGAGAAAGGCCAGGGCCTGGTGCTGCTCCCCAGCCACTGTCCTGGCCTGCACATGTGGGCAGGTCCTGGGAGTGAGTTCACTGTTCATCTCAGGAGCTCCAGGAAGCTCTTTGCTGCCGCCTGTTAGCTATTTCCCAGGCGTTGTCCCAACAGCTCATGTGTAAACAATGACACCATCTTCACAGCTGCCTTCTCAGCTTTACAGGATCCCAAGCACTAGGAATCTGCTCAATGGAAATCTAAAGTCAACCCTAAACTTGGCTACTCCATGTGGGGTTTCACCAAAATTCAACCCAAAGAATGAAGACGGCAAGGGATCCTGTCCAACCCTAAGTCTATGAGAGAGAAGATGAAGATTAAATGTTGGTAATATGCATAAATTGCTGTTGGGGCTCATATGAGAAATGATGATGCTAACATGATGATGCTATACCCTCCCTGGTTAAAACCTGAGACAAGCCAGGCACATGGTTTCTATTACTAGTCCCATTTTATAGATTTAAATGTTACCTATGATCACACAGAGGCTAAGATGATAAAAGCAGGACTGTTTGCCATTAAAAAAAAAGCCCATGCTCTCCCTATCATATGACCCTGAGTAGGTCAGCAAGTGAATGAATGGATGAATGAATAAATGAAGCAACTTGGGCAATAGAAAGAGTATTCATTCCAGGCCTAACTCTGCCATTGACCAGCCTAGTGAACTTTGGCTAGTCCCTTTCCTCTGGGCCTGCCTCAGTTTCCTACTTGTATGGAAAGAAGGTTGGAGCACAGCACATTTCTGTGGCTTCTTGTGGTTTTGGTGGGCTTGGGATCTCAGGGCAGCTGTGAGTAGCACATGAATGATCTGCTCCACCTACCCATTTTCCTAAAGCCAGAGCCCTGGCTGGTCTACTGCCTCAAGTTCCACTCTACACATAGTGCCTCTGGGTTATACTTTAGGGACAGCAAAGCCAAGTTCAGGCATAGGATCATCAGGACACAACCAATGCCACCACCGATGAGTACCTCAGCCTGGCACAGAATGGATCCTGGGAAGTCTGAGGAGAGCGACGATACACCATTGTGGTGTGCCTTTTGTCCAGGCTCCAACTGTCCGAGGAGCTGGTTTTTGTTCACTAACCTTCCTGCAGATTGCTTTCATCAAGAAGGCTGGGAGAGACAGACTGAGGGCACATGTCTGTAATCCCAGCATTTAGACGGCAAAAGCAAGATCATGAGTTCCAGAACAGCCTGGATGACAAAGCAAGACCCACTGGACACCTCCAACAAATATTCTGGAACACTAAAGAATCCATCTGAAAGATGAAGCCTCATACCCAAAGGTATCCTGACATTTCTTAGCACGTCAGCAGTTGTATCCAGGGTCAGTCAGATAGACTGCGGAAACAGGACACAGCCACTCCACCGAGCTCTGGGAGAAATGTCTCACCACAGAAGAGAAGAGATAAAGAATTACAGCCTCTCAGGATGCAGGAAGCTGAGGAAAGAGGATTGCCACGGCTTTGAGGTCAGTCTGGGGGCTATGGAGTGAGTGCCAAGCTGGCCTGAGCTACAGAAAAAGAAAGGCCACACCCTACATCTGGGGACCTGGCATGCATTAAACCTGAGCTGGTTCCTCAGCAGAGCACAAACAGATGGAGCAGCAAGATCATCCTGGCTACAGATCGTGTTCAAGGCCAACCTGAACTAGATCATGCCTCAAGCAGCAACAACAAAAACCTGCTTTGGAAATAAATAACAACCCAATTACAGCCTCTGGTGTTACCATCCATGAAGATGATGACAATGGTGGGTAACAGTAACTGTAACAGTGTCAGGTGCCGAGCACAGCTCTCACTCTTACTCACACTTCTTGTGATACTCCTGTGAGGTGGGCTCAACACTCGTGCCAGTTCACAGGGATGGAGACTAAGGCACAGCCAGGAAGAGGCAGAACTAAGGTGTGGATCCTTTTAAGCCCCATCCTTGACCCTGACTGCATAGCCTCAACATTATGGACCACTGAGTCTGGGTTTTCACAGTAGCATTTCTCTCCTATTTGTCTTATAGGTTTGAATGGCGGTTCTATTATTTTGTGAACTTTTAAAAAAGATTCTTCAGCTGGGTGGCAGTGGCGCATGCCTTCAAATCCCAACACTCCGGAGGCAGAGAAAGGTGGATCTCTGTGAGTTCAAGGCCAGCCTGGTCTACAAGAGCTAGTTCCAGGACAGGCTCCAAAGCTACAGAGAATCCCTGCCTCGAAAAACAAAACAAAAACTAACAACAACAACAACAACAACAACAAAAAGGATTCTTCTTGCCTACATGTGCAAGATCCTGGCTTGGATATTTGTGACTGTAAGAAACAAAGCGAAAAATTCAAAGCAAGTCACCTGTGAAACTCCCTCCCAGTGTGTCTGTGTCCATCCTAATGTTGTCTAATGCCAGCCAGAACAGTCACCACTTTATAAGTGGGGACCAGAGGCCCAAGAGATGAAGCACTCACCTCTCTTCAGGGAAGCCTTCACCACTTCCTGACTGGGCTCAGACCTCCCCCACCCCAACCATGCATGTTCTTATTGCACCACTCAGAATTACCCCTGGGCTAATGAGGACTAACTAAGGATGGTTTGGAGCCAATGGCACTTAAATGTTCTTTTAAAGTCAGATTCCCTCATGTGTAAGTTATTCTCCTTCACAGGTAGGGGCTCAGGGTCAGAGAAGAAGAAATAAAGCATCAAACCCCAGAGCACATAACCCTGTAACCTTGTGGGGGGGTGGATCTGAACCAGTCCACCACCTCCCAAAGCTACCTTACCAGTTGTCTCAAAATCACTCCCAATCCAGATCCCATTGATGCCAATGCCTGGATTCTGATCCCCACAGCAAGTCACTTCATCTTTTTAAGTCCTAAAATCTCAACTATAAAGTAGGCAGGGAAAGATGCAGGAGAGACCGATGCACAACCAGGAAGATGCTTTGCAGTCATGACCAGTTAGGCTCTTTGGGAACAGAAAGGGTTTATGCAGGAGATGGAGAGATGTCTAGAAGGAAGAGAGACCTTCCCCCAACCTACAGGCCTTGAGGGAGCCTGGTAGGCTCAGAGGAGAGGATACTTTACCAGTTGGCTGGACAGTCACCAGTGAAGTGTGACTTTGGGGACCTTCGTGTGCTCATCTGCACTACGCAGAGGGGAATCCTAACTGCTTGTCATAGAGTGCCTGGTGCCTCCCCCACCCCCATTGATTTTAATCAATGAGAATGCACTTGTTTTTCTGTATCTAACAGGTGAACAACTTCAAGGCCAGTTCATCCAAGTGCCATAGCACCTAGCACCAGATTGTCAGATGCAAGAGTAAGAGACAGATAAACTGTAAGTCCCAGGTGTTTCTAAGCCAGGGAATCAATCCGGGCTCCTGCCTCCAAAGGCCAGCATGCTCAGATTCCTCTGAATTAAGACTGAACTGTGAACTTTCATTTAATCTAGACAGCTGGGAGAGAGTTGTGCCCTACTTGGTGACCTTTTTACAGATGAAAAAGCTATGGCTCAGAGAAGGTGACTAATTTGTCCAAGACACACAGCAGGTGCAATAAACCAGGGGGTCTCTCTGAGTCCAGGTTTTTCTGAATTCCAGATCTCCCCCATTTCCCAGTATCCCATAAAGGATTCGAAAAGAAAAACTCTTTTGTTCTCAGGTTCAGGCTGACCCTGAACTAAAGGAGGGAGGGTCTGGGGAGGGGAGGGGTGCCAAGAATGGTCCCTGACCTTGCCCAAGACCAGAAAGTCAGAAGGAATTTGAGTCATGATCAGAACCCCAGAGGTTCCCCTGGAGTCCAGGCCTGGGGAACAAAAGCTACCAAACACAGCCCAAACTGAGGGGACTCAGAGAGCAGGAGTGTGCCTTTGGAATTCCTTCCGCTCCCTTGCTAGGTCTGTCCGGGAGCCCAATGCTAAAGTGTTGCCCAGACACTGCCCGGGCCCCATGAAGATCTGCAGATCTCTGAGATGTGTGATCATACCCTCGGTCTCGGTCACAGCCTGCCGCCACCACCACTGCCGCCACCACCACAAGTTCTTTCATTTTGTTTTCCTTTCTGACAGTTCACTGAAACTTTTTTAAGAGAGGCTATGCAACCCTTCTGATCTGTCACTTCCTCAGTGTCAACCTCTCGGGACCCATCCCAGGACCGATCCTCTCTGTGACACCACATTCACCTTACTTAGTCTCTCGGGTTTTTGTTTGTTTGGGATTTTGGTTAAACTACTTCTAATGGGGGGTGTTTTGCCTTGTATGATGAGGGAACTGAGGTCTAACAGTCTGGACTAATCAGAGAGGTGATCACATAACTAAGTTAATGTTCTTTTTAACTAGCTCCATTGAGCATAAAGCATATTAACTCAGTTGTCACCTACAAGACCTCAGCAGCACCTCCCACCTGTGGCATGGGTGTATTTTACATGGAGTGAACTGAGGCTCAGGAGACATTAGAGGTTTGCCTAGCACTGGGGATGAGAATCAGAAGAGCAGAAAATTTAAAAGTTGTTGTCCCACCATGTCCCAACATGGTGCTGCAAGTTTGGGCCCCAGACTAGAGTTCTCAACATCTTTGGGGGTGTGGAAATCCCATGCAAATTCCAGGTCTTGTCTATCAAGAAAGCACCCTTACACAAGTGTGATCCCATTGATCCCCAAGCACTAAGCTACTTCTCCCCATCCTATAAGGTGATGTCATTAGACAAGCCTCTACACCCAGTAGATCTACAGGCATACCATGTCACTACCAAACCTTGCTTCCTGGAAAGTCTGAAGGACAGACAACATAAAACAAATAACATCAACAACAACCCAGGAGACAAATTAGAGCTGCCAGAAGAAAATTCAATAAAGAATGAATGGAGGCCAAAGGAGAGAGAGGAACAACTTGAGGCACTAACCATTCCTTGGGTGGGGACAAAGCAGGAGGGCTCTGGATTCATCTGAAACTCTTGAAACTCTTAAAACATGAGCAAGTTGAAGAGCTTTGACTAAGGGACGGTTTACAACCATAAAGCATGGAGACAGAGAACCACACAGGAAAAAAAAGAGGATTAAAATAGGGAGTATGTGACAACAGCAAAAGTGTTGACATTCTAAAACAGGCTACCAAAGTAGAAAAGGAAGGCTGAAGGTAGACAGGCAGAAGGATTTTCCAAAGTCCTGCTCAGCGTGAGGTTCTGCCTCAGGCCCTGGCAGCTGCTCCCACCCTGCCCAGCTGACCTGGAGGACTCTCTTGGTGAGGCCGGTCTTTTGCGCGAGCTGCTTCAAGTCCTTGGCATCGGGATTGTGGTTAATGGCAAAGTAAGACTTCATTGTCCGAAGCTGGTGGTGCTTGAAGGAGGTGCGCATGCGCTTTGTCTTTTGGCTGCTGGGGTAGGGCTGGTCACGATCCAGGTGTTCCGCGTCGTTCTCGTTACAACTCAGCGCTGGGAAAGGGACACAAAAGGTAAATTTTCTGACCCTGCGTGGTCTGTCAGTTCTGAGCTCCACACCCTCACTGCCCACTGACAAACGCATCTAGTCTGGGAACCCAGTTGTGTGCACACACAACGCTGAAAAAGGGATCGTAAACCCAATTTCGATGTAGAGAAAATGAAGCTCTCTGAAAAATGTGACCAGCCTAGGAAACAGTGGATTCAAACCCAGGTCTTGGATAAAACAAAACAAAACACCCGGAAGTCATTCCAAGAGTAATCAGAATGGCAGCGTGGAGACTTGTTGATGGCTTTTAGGATATCAGATGCTGCACTAAAAGGCTTTCTCTTTATCTTTTATGTGTATTTATTTTGTGTGTGGGTTAGGGGGAAGGGGTTCTGTGATTGAACTCGGGTTCTACAGACTTGGCAACAAGCCTCTTGGACCACTGAGCCAGTTTGCTAGTCCCTAAAACCTTTCTTTGCAAGTCCATAGTGGCTGGGCACTTAAAGCAACTTTTTTTAAAATAGATGTTGAGACTGTGGCTTACAAAGGCAAGCCCAGGAACAGCCTCTGAGTCTCTGATGGTGTTCATGGGCCTGCACCTTTTGTTTCCCAAGCACCCGCCAAGGAAACCCCTTAGTAGTGAAGGGCACTAGCACCCAGAAGCTGTCGACTAAGGGCTTCCCTCAACTCTCCCTCCCGGAGGACTGGGCAGACTCCAGGCTTCCAGCAGCAGGCCTACAGTTGAAAACTGCATTTTGTAGATTAATCTTCAGCACTGTCCTGTGATCTGCTCCCAGTTTCACAGAAGCAAATGGGGTTCTGGGGAGTTAGGAGAAGCTTGGCCATCTTGGGGAGAGCGAGGAGGTAGACTCTTACTAGAAGGAGAGGAAGTGGCAGGAAGATAGCAACACACGTTAGATGTCTATCTTGCATTCTGACTTTATGTGTGTCACTGTTCCCATTTTAGAGGTGAAGAAACTCAGGCCAAGGAAAGGAAGTCACACCCCCACACTAGTAAACACTGAGCTCAGAGTCAATGCTAGAGTCCCCCTGTTTCCTGCTGGAACACCTCCAGGGAAGGAGAGATAAAACCTGATTTCAGGAAGCCCACCCCATCCCAGGGCTTTACTGGGGTCTAGGGAGGGCTCTTGGTTGGGGAGCATCAGTAATTGCTCAGTTGATGAGGTCACATGGGATCCCCCAGTAAGCCCCATTTCAACCCCCTCCTTTAAGGAATCGGGGGAAAATATCTTTCACCATAGTGAAAGGCAACATAGTGCATACCTAGAATAGAGGTGTCAAAACTAGTGAATAAATGCAAACAGTGCCCAGTTAGATTTGAATTTCTGATAAACAGATAATTTTGATCATATGTCCCAAAGACTGCCCAAAAGATACTAAATTTTTATCTAAGGTTTACATGCTGCTTGGGACATTTCTAAATTATTGCCATAAATGTAGAATTAAGTGGCTATCCTGATAACACTACCTAGAACGCACCTTGGAGACCTCCCTCTCCTCTTGCCCAAATGCCACTGCTTCCCTGAAAAACTCAGACTATTTGGGTCCTACTTCCAAGTTTTAAGCCGTAAGCCAGGGGCAACACTATACCAAGGTTTATATACCAAAGTATGCAAATGCCCCTTCTCCTCCAACCAGTGTTCCCATCTAGAACACCGAGAGTGAAGAATTTAAAGGGGATCAGACCATGACTCCCACTAGCCAGCAGCACTAACCTCACTCAGGGAATGGAACCTTTTCTTTCTCCCAGTCCTCAATTCTGCCGGGGTGGGGCAGGCCTCCCCCGTGGGGAATCTCTGGGCTCATCCCTCTGCCCAGCCCCCACCTAGGGCCTCACTGCTGTTAATGAGCTCCGTGGGGATCCTGGCGCCCTGTAGGCCCAAGGGAGGTGCCCTGAGCAAGGCCTACCGTGGGGGAAGGTGGTATCCATAGAAGGGAGGGAGGGAAGGAGGGAGGGAGGGAGGGGGCAGAGATGACTGAGGTAGAAAACTAGAGAAGGAAGGGGGAGGGGCGGGAAGATGAACAGAGCCAAGGGAAAGAAGTAGGAAAACAGAGGGAGAAAATGAGAAAGCTGTGGTGACACGGGGGTAGGTGACTGGACGCGATGAATACGGAGTCCCGGAAATAAGGGGATATCCTCTGTGATGGAGAATTCTCGTGATAGAACTAATCCCGGGGCTCAAGGAGACAAGGACCCTAAGGAGAAGACTTTTCCAAACGGCTATTGGCTAGGAAGTCGAGGCCGGGCCAAGACCCTGCGAGCGGTGAAGGCTGGGGTTGGAACAGTAGGAAGCAGGATAGCAGAGGAGGCGCCCAAGCCCAGACCCTCCTCACTCGCACCCCTAAAGCCTGGGGCCATGTGAGGATTCCCCAAGATCGTGTCTGGGGAGGAGCGAGGGTCTGAGAGGAGGGAGAGGACCAGGGCTCCCCCCCTTTTTTCCTCTCAATTAGGCCGATTCAATGGAGCTAAAGAGCTCGTAAAATCATGAATAATTTACTCGTGATCTGTTATTAACCCATCGGGTTTCGAGCTCTTGTCGCTGGGACTGAACCTGTAATCAAATCTGACTTTGCCTCATTTTACTAAACACGAGACTGTAGGTTCAATTGTCTAAATAATGGATTGGAATCAAATCAGTAATTACGCCGTCAGGCGCGCGCACGTACACACACACACACACACACACACACACACACACACACACACGGGCACACGGGGGTTTGGGGGAGGCATGGCCGGCCAGCGGATATGCTCGCAACTCCCGAGACCCTGTATCGGCGGAAACCGCGAGGCAAAGTGCAAGTCCGGGGCCCCACGCTGGCCCCGGCCGACCTGCAGCCCGGGTTCGGGGAGATTTGTGTACCGCCTCAGGGACGGGGGCAGCAGTCCAGGACCAGAGGGGCCTTGGGAGGAGGGCGGCCGCGGCTTCCGCCCCGGAAGGACTTTTCGACCCTGCGACCCGAAGTCTGGGTCGCCCGGTCGCCCTCCCACGGACCCCAAACCCAGGGACCCTCGCTGCGCCCCTTCCCATCAAGTGCCCAGCTCCATCTCCCTCGGCAAGACCGGCTCCCCGAGCGCGGCTCTGCAAAGTATCCCTGTGTGTCTGGCCCCTGGCTACGGGGCGTTTACACAAGCAAACTGGTGTCCTCGCAATCAGAAGCACTCGTTCCCTTTCCACACGCACTTGCCCACACACACTGCCCACAGCCTCACCCACCGGGTCCCTCGTTACAGCCCCAGCTGCCCCACGGCACACATTGCAGGCATTTCTCTCCTGCCAACTCCGGGAGAAGAAGGAGGCAAAAGACAGATCTGAAAACTGGCTGCACTCGGCAAGCAAAAAAAAATCACCCTCTCTTCCCAACTTAGTCCCGGTAGCTCCGAATAAGTGAACCGCACAGTCAGCGCCTGTGAGCCGAACGCCGCTCCTCCCTGGACTGAGAGTCCTGGCGGGTCAAGGCCCAAGACTCCCGCACGCTAGAAGAGCAGACAAACTAGAAACACTTCGGCGGAAAGAAAAGAACAGAAAGGACAGACAGGAAAGAATGTGGAGGTCAAAGAGAAAAATGAGGTAACAGAGGGGCCTCTCCGGAACCCAGCTACCAGTTATATCTTCCCGTTGCCTCCTGGGAAGAATAAGGCTGAACAATAAATAGCAAAATTAAATCTCGGAGCTTCTCACTCTTTTCGCACAATCACAACCGGGTGCTACCTGGTGTGTTGAAAAAAAAAAATCAGACCACTTCACACACCATGTACCCTAGAGGTCGCTGGGTTTGGGTAGAAAAGGGCCTGGGCCGATTCTACTCTTTATTTTAGGGCTCTAAAAAACGGCTTTTATAGCAGTACTTCGGGGAAATTTCAAATCCCTGAACCAATCACCACTTTATCACTTAGCCAACCGGGGGTTGCATTTCCCCCTCCCCAATCGGTCCCAGGACCAGCAATTTCGTTGGAGCAGAAAAAGGACCTACTCCACTTGTCCCCCATTTCCCTACCTAAGCAGTTCAGGCTATTTAAAATCATAAGGGCCCTGACTTCTTCCTTCGCCGGCCACAGGCACTCTACAGACTTGGTTGGTTTTAGTTTTGTGCACCACCACCAAACCCCCCCCCCCCCAGCGCGCCCAATCTTGTGATTTAGACTAGAGGGAAAAGGAGGGAAAAAAATCTCAGCATCCGATTTGTTGTTACAGACTTAAGAGGGGGTATAACTGCAAATAAACTAGTTCGGAAGCCAGGCACGTCCCTAAACCTTCCCGGGCCCTGTGGGACCTTTAGAACCTCTGCCACCTTTTTCCTCCCCCAGAGTCAGAATTGTGAGGGGGGTACCTCAGGAAAGTGCCTCACATCAAAGAAATGTGAATCGAGACCCCCACAGCCCACTGTGAGGACCCGCCTGCTCCTGCTTCTTCGGTTGCATGCTACAAGGGGAAGGGAAATCTCGGAGACCTGGCGGTGCCCCAGGATCCAGCTGGACAGAAGGACCCAGAGCCCTTGAAAGTAACAGCTCTAAGCCTGCCGCCCTGGGGACATTCATACGACCGGGCTGTAAGCCAAACCCAACGGTGCCCACGGCCACCACCAGACTTTTCTCTTGGGACCCTCGCAGCCTAGCTCTGGTAGTCTCCCTACCCTCAGCCACTCCGCCACTCTGAGCCTGTTTGGTGTTGCCGCCTTGCTTTCTTCCCCGCACTTTCTGTAAAGCAAAGCGTGCTAGACAAACCAAAAACAATTCCTAAACGACAAGATCCTGCATCTGGATCACCAATGAACTAATGCTTTCTCACCTTCAATCGAAGGAGCATCAACTGAAAGGCAGAAGGCTAACGCCCCTTCTACCAAGCACCCTGATGCAGTAGGGCCTGCAAAGCCAGGGGCCAGAGTACCCACTGTAAGCCAAGCACACTGAAATCTTTTCCCCCAAAGTAGCCAGGGTTTTCAGACGGTCTTGCACTCACCAGCGTTGTAGGCTGCCAGATCCGCCCCAGGTCCTGGACTCTTGCGCTTTCTCGGCCTCCCTTTCTGCACAGTGCCCACGCCGTTGTAGTAGGGAAGACCAAGAGGGTTAGCCCCGGCTGCGCCCAATCCTGCACTCTTAGCCGCTGCGGCTGCGGCTGCCGCTGCCGCCACGTCGGCATGATTGAAGTGTGCCGGGTATTCGCCCTGCAGCAGTGCCTCGAAGTGCAAGCGGCAATAGACCAGGCTGTCCTTCATGCCGAAGTGGTCGCCGGTGGTCAGCATCTTGTTACACGTGGTGCATGTGAAGCAATTGAGGTGATAAACCAAGTCCCGAGCACGCATCACCATCTCTGAAGCCGAGATGCCCAGGTGGCAGCGGGCGCAGCGCTGCACAGAGAACCGCCTGTGGGGACCATGGAGGGAGGGGCTGTGGGGACAAATAGTTGGACATCCCCCCCCCATCCCTGTACCTCTCCTTCTGGTGCTGCTGCTACTGCTGGGGGTGGGGGCTCCTCAAGATGGACAGCCTGGACTTGACTGAGGATTAGTAGAGGGGGAACTAGATTTTAACCCAGGTCTGGCCTACCTGAAATAGTTTCCCTTAACCATTTTCGCACCCACAAGAGATTCTACTTTATTCAGAACCTGAGCAAGTCTTAGGAAAGACTTTACTTAGAATGGGGAGAAACTCCCTCACTTACCCCTTCCTCAACCTTTGCCCCTGCCCTCCAGACCAGCGCCTGGGAATCCTACACACCGCTGTAATTTGGAAGAAACAGAGATGGGGAAAGAGAGAAACAGAGACAGAGACACACAGAGAGAAGACATAAATAGGCCCTAAGTCTAAAGCTGGGAGGAGAAAGAGAAACCCAGGCTCTTACTCTTTAACCCTGGCCAACTTTTCTTATCACTCCCACCCTCAAAGACCCAGAACTACTGCACTGTCCTCTCTCACTCCCTCCAGCTTGGTTTCACATCAGCCAGGCTGCCAGAGTTTTGGAGTGTCTATTTCTATCACTTCTGGTTGAGTCAAGAAACTTCTAAAGGGAAAGGAGTGTGAAGACCTCCCCTACACAAGCTGAGTTTTTAAGCACCCTAAACTCAGAGAGGAGGGTAACCAGCTTTTCTGTTCTTATACTTCATGATTCTTTCCAAGAGTACCCCAAATTGTTAATGTAGAAAGTTGTTGTCAAATTTGGTGGGTGCTGGCTTGGAGAAAGAGGGTCTTGGGTAGGACAACCTCTACTGGGAGCAAAAGAAAAGGAGATGGATGATTCAGTCCCTATGGTCAGCGGGTCTGGGCAGAATCTACCTGTAGTAGTCTTCTTTGCAGTAGATGCTGCCGTCTTTGCTGAAACAGGTGAGCTCTGACTCCAGGTTGAGTTTGCATTCACAGCACTTGAGGCAGCGCATGTGCCACTGCTTGTCCACTGCCAGCAGGTAGTATCTGTCAGAGATCTTACCCCCACAGCCAGCACACAGCGCAGCTCGGTCACTGCTGATGGACGGCATGGTCTACAAAGGGAGAAGAGAGCACTGTAAGCGGCAGTCTACAGCTGTGCACCCACCGAGAAAACCGCCCTGAGCTCCTTCCTTGGCCCAGACTAGTCTTGAAATTCACCTAGAAGGCAGTCTGGAAGGGCAGTCCATCTTTCTCCATCTAACAGGCCTAATCTGAGCAGCTAAGGGCCCAAGCTATGCACTCAGCTCCAGGAAAGCACCGAGACAAATCGCAGCTCCAATTTCCAGTTCTAAGTTGATCTCGGACCTTAGGTCTCCCTATCCCTGTCCTCCAGCCCTTAGCCCCTCTATGTCCCTGCTGCTTTTAAATATTGGAATAGAGGGGGCTCTTCCCCCAAATTCTCCAAGCGAATCCTCAAACTGTTTATTCACAGCGCTGGTTCCCAGGAAAGAGCTAAGGGATGAAGTAAGGTGAGTATTAAAACTCCTGCTGCACACACACATACACTCCTCTTCAGGGAGGCAGCAGTCAGGGTTCCTGGCCGCAAGCCTCAGTAGGCTCCGGATCTTTCAGCCAGGGCAGGTTCAGCAACTTCGGGCTCCTCTGCCACACTAGCTGGGTCCCGCTTGGGTCTTGAGAGGTTAAGAGGGACATAGGGCCACCTTCCAAGAGGTTGCAAGGCAGGCCCAATCCGAATCTTTTTTTTTTTTTTAAACCAAATTGAGGAGCAGGGGCGTTTATCCAGAAAGAAGGATTTCAGGGGAAACCGGGAGGTCACTGAACTGTGGCTCTCCCCTAAAAGGGAGAAGCTCGGGCCAGGCTTCCCACCTCCTCTGTCTCTAAAGGTCACTCTGCAGCCGCTGCTCAGCGTCTGCTAGTCGGGCCCCGGGGGAGGCTATTTGGGGCCGGGACGGCGGAGCCAGGTACAGAGAAGCCAGGCCAAAGCCTGAACTTCGAACTATTGCCTGGCCAAATTAGGCAGGCTAGGAGTACGAGGACGCGATCAACGAAAATTGCTAGCCCAGAAGTCCCAGGGCCCTGAAACTGAGCTAGGAAGAGAGCCCGACTGTCAGGAGTCTGAAAGCGACGCAAACCAGCCAGAGCCACAGGGCTCCCACCAGTTCTCCCTTTTCCTGAGGCGCCAGTAGCAGCGCCAGCAAGCCGAGTGGTGAAGGATCAGGACTGTGGACCGAAGCGCCGGGCGAGGAGAGAAGAAAGTGGCCTTCGGCTTTCACTTCCAGAGCAATGTTCTCCTCTACCCTCTGGGTCCAGATTTGGGTTTCAATCTTGACTCCCTCCTCAGCTCCAGTAGCCAGGTTTCCTTTGAGCCTGGACCCCGGGGCCTCACACCCTGTCCGAGGATCCCCAGCATCGGTCCCGTGCGTATCGAAGGACTCTCCCCAAAGTTCGGGGAGAAGAGGCACTGGCCGACCCAGATAGGTCCCAGTTCTCAGTCCCAACTCCACAGCCGCGCGCGCCTACCGTCTCCGTGTCGCCGCGGTCGATGGCGGAGCTGATGGCCGGAGCCTCGCTCTTGGCTCTGCGGTCCATCTCGTCGATGACCCCGTGCACCTCGGGGCCCGACAGACTGTGGAACAGCATCGCGGCGGGACCGGGGACGCGGCTGCCCCGAGGAAGGGCTTGCCCCCCGCCTCAGCTGCCTGGCGCTCCCGGCGTTAACCGGCCCGGTGCATCTCCACCGCGGCCCCGGCCCCGCCCGAGATCGGCTTTGCCCCCAGGCCAGGCTCCGGGCCCCGGGCCCCCGCGGGCCAGGACGCCTCTCGCAGAGGCGTGGGGGCAGCTACATCGTGGGGTGCCTGAGCTGCGGCGCCGAAGCCAGGGTCACAAGGTCAGAGGGTGAGGTGGGGGCGGGAGACCAGGGCAGAGGTCGGCGCCCGCAGCGGGCGCTTTTACGCCGCGGGCATCGCTCACTAGGCTCCGGCGCCCAGGGCGCAAATCAGGGGCGCAAACTCTGCCTCGGGAAGCGGCGGCTGCAGTTGGGGTTCACCCAGGAGCAGTCAGGTGCTCCGGACGGCCAAGATGCCTAGACGTCTCTTTCCCCTCGGGGTGTGTTCCCAACCAAAGGCGAATTGGAGTAGGGGGTCTCTGCGAAGCCTGCGAGCTGAGCCGAACCACCCAGAGAATTGAAGAAGAGGAGGAGGAGAAGGAGGAGGAGGAGGCGGCAGAGGAGGAGGTGGAGGAGGAGAAAAAAGAGGAGGAGCAGAGTGGGAGGAGGAGCCGCGGGCCCTCTCTAAGCGCGCGCCGGGCTCAGCCTAGGTTCTGTAGTCCGCGCCAGCGCAAGCCTCCGCGCCTTTTCTACAGCCGCGCCTGACATCACGTCCTGCCGCCGTGCCATTGGTCGCGCGGAGCCCCAGGCCTTGGCAGCGCGTGCTCCGGGAAGGCGGGAGACCCAGAGGGAGGGGTGAGGCTAGAGGCGGAGAGGAACGGAGAGGAGGTGGTGGGAGCTGGTGGGCGAGTGGGCGAGGCTGTAGGAGGAGGCGGGAGGGGAAGGCGGGAGGGAGGGAGAAGGGAGAGCGCAAGGTTTGGAGTTTCTAAGCTGCTAACAGTTTCCTGTGTTTCTTCTGGAAGGAAAATTAAACCTTTCCTGTCGTTTCTATCCTAAGAAAGCGCAGCCAAAAAAAATGCTTGAGGAGGTCTCCATTCTCCCCCTTTTGCCTCTGGAACCAGGGGTGGAGGAGCAGTGAAGTGTACAAGCCTAGAATACAGTTTCAAGAACCTTAGGCTGCTTCCCGCCCAGCTCCTCTTTGGGAGCTGCTCTCCAGACTATGTGGGGGCAGCGGCGCAGGCCTCCTGGGGACCAAGCTTACGAAACGCTCGTGCACTGACTCCCATGAGCAGAGGGCCAGCCAGCATATCCTTGCTCCAAGTGAGCTAGGGACTGTTCAGTCAGGTCAGTCTTGTGGCTTCTGGATTTCCCCTTGTCTATCTAGTCTAGAAGAGTGGGGGTAAAGTAGGTCTTTAAAAAGTCAGAGAGAGAAGCAAGGAGTTCATAGTTATCCAATGTATGTGCAATGTGATCTCAAGAAAGTGACTGTTTGACTTTCTCAATGGGAAGCAAGAATGTCCCCTCCTTTGGGGTGTTTGGGTGTCATGAAAGAAAGAAAAGTTCCATGGAAAGTGCCTGGAACATAGTAGGTACTCAGCAAATTCCTTAATTATTCCCTTTTTCCTCTCCTACTCAAAACTTTCTCACTCTGGGATACACTTGGCAAAAGACCACAGGTCCATTCTCTTTCTTTGGTGCATTCCATTCCACTAGCACAGACCGCTGCCACCACACACACACACACACACACACACACACACACACACACACACACACACCTTATGGTATCTGGGCCCACCCAGCCTCCTGGTTGCCCAAGGATCAATAATAATATAAGGCCTGCCCAGCAAATCCCAACTGCCAGCCTGGACTGAGTCTCTAGGCTGAATGTAAAGCAATGACCAAGTGTCTGGTGAACAGGCATTCAGGAAGTAAAAAGTGATTTTGAGTGGAAAAAAAAAGGAGAGGGCAAGTCAGTTACAGAGACTCTTCTGGGCCCATTAGGCAAGCTGCTTTCATACCCTGTGATGGAGAGGGTGTCATAGAAGTGTAGTCTGAAATGTCTACATGCCTGGCACAACCAAAGAGAAGTCAGGACCCCTGCAGTTTATCTCACAGGGCACTCAGTTGGGGCAGCATGAAGCCACACTTTCCACAAACTGTGCAAAGCTTTTGCACAAGAATATGTGTTACACTTGTGGTGCTCAAGTTTGTATCCATGTTCATCTTTTTTGGCAAAAATAAAGCCAGCACAAATTTTATTTTCGTTGGCAAAACCATAGGCAGCACTAATGCACAGGGGATGTCTACAGGTGCACACCACACCCAAGAAGTCATCTGTGTACTCAGGCGAGCCTCCTTAATCTTATCTGAGTCCACACCAGGCATATTTGCAAAAATTCGTCAAGTTCTACATTTGTGTGCACACACTGCACACATAATGATGTCCTAACTTGAGGCAAAGACCATCCGTGTAAAGACAGGAATGTCCACTTCACACATTCAAAGTCAGTGCCTGCATAGATTCTGAATCACAGTCACCTCTAGGAATATACAAGCATGTTATACTGGGGTACCTGGTACACTTATTTTAAAGTAGGAAATGAAATTTGAATCTGGGATTCACAAGGATTCATTAGGATGTCGCTCAAAGGGGTAGAAAACTTTTAAAAACAAGCTTAGAGTGTATGTCCTTGGTGCTGGCTGGGTTCAAGGGGCTGCTTCGTACCTTGGAAACTTGGAAGGGTGTAGAGCTACCCAGGAAACAGGGATCTATACCCATAAAGAGAGACACACCATTCGTTACCCATCTCTGACCAGCAATCCCCAACAGTCCTTGGCCTGAACTCTCCGGTCGGCCGTTGGGATCGCCACCCAGAGCGCTTCTCTATTTATCCCTCCGCGTCCTAAAGGGACGCGAAAACGTCAGTTAGAGGCTCAAGCAAATCTCCCGCAGCGGGGCGGCATCTGGGCACCCGGGCCCTGAGTTCAGAGGCCGCTAACTTTGCTAATCACTGGGGGACATCGCGCAACTGCTTTGCCCTGTTCTCGGAGACTGAGCAAGGCGGGGAACAGGCTGTAAACACAGATCCTGACACGTGAGTGACATTTACACAGTGCTAGGAGACGCAGCCGAGGGAGAGGCAGGAGGTGGGGTGGAGGAGTCAGGCAAGGACAGGTAACTGGGCTATTCACAGAGGCACGGAAGAGCGGCCCCTCGACCCCCTCCCTCGGTCAGGGGTAAAGCATCTTCAGCTTCCGGTACTCTAGGTACTCTCCGTTTTGTGGAAGGTGACAGGTGAACCGGATTCAGGTCTGGCCACTGTCGCCGCTGCCTACCTCCCCACCATCTGCTTCCCCGCAGACTAGCAGACCCGGCGCATAATGAGGTAGCAGCCTCCAGCCGGCCACCGTGACTAACTCAGAACAAAAGCTCTCCTTCCACGCCTTCTCCAACAAAAGGGCCACCAGCCCCGGCGCTCCCCAAAGGCTGCCGGGCTGCCGGCTGCCGGCTGCAGAGAGGCCGCGCGCAAACTTCCCGGGGCTCCCGGGGCTGACGGCGCCACCAAGCCGGGGCCGCTGAGGGAGGAAGCGTCCAGCGCTGGGAGAAAGTGAGGCCAGGCCCGAGGAGGGGAGAAGGGGAGGAGGGCGCTGGCCGCAGCGGAACCGGGGTGATTGATCTGCTTGCTGTTCCCGGAGCTCTGTCCCGTTATTAGAGACGGCCAAAGCAGGGCCACGCAAATACCCTCCGAATCGCCAACTAATTGACGCTGCAGGCAACTATTTCATTGTGCGCGCTGGTTTTATGTCTTCATAGCCGGTGATTGACAAGGTGTAATTAGTCATCTCACTCGGTGATAAACATGGGCACCCTCCTCCCGCGGCATCAGGCCGAGTGTACCAGCAGAGGAAGCGAGAGTTGACGCTGATATACCATTAAATCAAAATGAAGACGTTCAGAAGTGTGTGTTTGCTGTGACGCTCTCGGGGTTTATTTCTCAAATACGGCACCAACAGATTTACTTGATTTGCAAGTTAACTACAACATTAACTGGTTTTATTTATTTTGCCTCTTCCTTCCTCTTCCTAGGCAGGGATGTTACTCTTGGAGTATGTGAAGACAGTTTGCTTTTTGACAAGCGAGCAAGCGGGCGCCCAGATTTCTGCAGCCTTTGGAGTCTCCCGGGAGGGAAAGGCAGATAGAGCAAACCTCGGACTAGGGAGCCGCCCGGAAGGGCTCCGAGCAGGGGAACCGCCCCTCTCGGCCCCAGACTCTCCAGCCTGGGGCTCAGGGCTTGGATAGTACCAAAGAATTGCTCAAACTCTGAGGATGGAGCTGGGATTTAGGGCTTCAGAAACCTCTCGAATGACAACTGTGGGGAAGAAAGAGGCTTTGCCAACATATCTTTCCGGCCTCACAGCGGAAAGGACTGTTCTCTTGAAGCTGTTTGCGGCAGTCATAGGGCCAGTGGCCCATCGCTGTTGACCCTGTTCCCTGTGTAAAGCATAACTTCTCCAGGCTTGCTTGTACCACTCAGCAAATTACACTCCTTACTAACTAAAATGGGTCTTGCTCAGGAAAAATATTTCTCTTTCTCTGTCTGTCTGTCTGTTACTGATACTGAAGCTGGTTACTTATTTCAGAAACCTGGATGCTTACATTTTAAGAGGGAGGAGACCTGACCTGTTTTGAAAGCATCAACTAAACAAATCCACCAACATCTGAAAATCAGTCTCCAGGCTAAGCCCTGCGAACCTTTTGAAGACCCCATTGGGGAAGGCTTCCTGCACTTTCCCTTCTTTCTAACCTCTGCTTCTTGCTTATAGAGCAGAGAAGTGAAATGATGATTTCCCCCACCAGGCAAAGGAATGTGGAGAGCAGGAAGCACCAGGAAAAGGCGGGTGAGGGTCACAGGGATGGTAGAAAAGCCCTCCACCTAAATATCCTCTATTCCCAGGCTTGTAGGGGAGGTGCTTGTTCTGGGAAGGGGGGAGTCTGCTTTATGCTGATGGGCAAGGTTGTTTGTAGCCGCAAATCTACTCAGACATGGCTCTTTCTCTATGAAATCAGCTCATCGCTTTGGTCATACCACACTAGAGATCTGCTGATCACCAGTATTGACAATATAAGTCAATGAGACCTTCATTATTTCCAAGAGGAGCCCCATGTCTGTGACATTAGAACAGAGAAGTAGCTTGGCGCATGATAAGCAGATAGGAGCCCAATTCTTCCTCCTCTTCTCCCTAAAACAACGCGAACAATTCTGAAATTACCTCCCTGGGCATCAGCTAAGAAGGTTGGGGCACTAACCAGGGCTCTCTCTTGTCTCCTCTCCTCTCTCTCTCTCTCTCTCTCTCTCTCTCTCTCTCTCTCTCTCTCTCCTGTTAAATGCACTGAACTTAAAATGAAACACGAAGTGTGAATTTCAGGTTTGAACCTGAAGCATTAGGAAACATGAAGGCTGGTGGCTCTGTCCCCCTCTCCCGCCTTTCAGTAGCAGGTATTAATATTGTATTAAATGTTATGAGAAAGTAAAGGCTGCGGAGAGAAATGTGCTCAGATGCAATTTTGTCAAGGTTTTTATCTATGATTATGGTTCCAGATGTAGAAACTCCCGGAGGAGGAAAATGAGGGGCTGCTGGCATGTGACATGTGTTTTAAGGTGTTTGGCAGTGTTTCTCAAAGTGGTGACAAAATGTTCAATTTTATTACAGGGAATTGGTAAGAGAAATAGGAATTCTAG